TAAGAAACACTAAGCCTTTTACTAAAATCTGGAAGCCAGCCCACAAGTCGCTGGGGACCTCACTTGCAGGCCCTCCAACTGCCCTGTTATGGAATGAACACACTCTGGAAATCCAATGTACAGCATAATGACTATAATTAACAATATTGTACTATATATTTGAAAGTCACGAAAAGAGTAAATCTTAAATGTAGTCACCACAAAAAAAAGAGAGATAATTATGTGAAATGGTGGAGGTGTTTGTTAACTAATCCTACTGTGATAATCACCTCATGATATACACATGTATCAAATCGTCATATTGTATTTTTAATTTACATAATGTTACATGCCAATTATATCTCAATAGAGCTAGAACTAAACTTAAATAAATAAAAGGGCTTTGTAAACTTAAAAAAGAATTTTCAGGGAACACAATTCAGTTCATAATAAGCCTAAGTTTTTATCTCTAACCATAATCCCATAACACCAGTTTTTATTCCCTTTGCCTTAATGTACTTCTTTTCTATTTCATCTTGTCTTGCTTTTGATGGCTGCACTCCTTTCTTTTGCTATAGATCATTGTAAATCTACATACACAAACTCGTGGTTTGGGCTTGACATAATTACTTACAGGTATTGCTCTAAGCTAATGTTATTTAGATATACATCTTGGATTGGGCAACAGTATTAAATTTCTCAGATAACACTAAAATAATATGCCTATAGGCTCATCTAATTTTGAAATTACTGGCAAAATTCAACTCTTCTGGAACATTGTGCACTTTTTTTCACAGGTGTTACTCCTTAGTTCTTATTTTCTCACTGGGAATGATATTTTTAACCACAGCCTTTGAAACTGAAGCAGCAAAACCCAACCTAAATACCTCAGGAAGTGGTACTGTAGATTTTGATGCTTTTCTTTAAAGTTTTTTTTCATATCTTACTCATAAAAATATTTTACTTTGCTAATATGCAGTTAAAATAAACAGGCCTATAATTTTGACCTAAAAAGATATAATTACCACTTGAGAACATTTGGGCTGACAAAAGGTATAGAGAAGTGATAGGGTATGTGTGGTCCATGGGATGATTCTTCCAATAATATACTCTGAGGAGCTTCTAATCAAAACAAGAAGTTCCTTGTCATGTAGAGTTAAATTTCCATTCAGACATTTTAAAAGAATAAATAATACCCTGAAGACTGTAACTCCTAAACTTATTTTATGGTTGGCAGTATTTTATTTCATTTCCTAGACTGATTTTTTTTTCTTTTATGTCCCAAACCTCAAAATCATCTATCCTGCACTAACTTAACATGGCAGATAAGAACAGCCACAGGCATTCCAGTCTAACCTACACAGGGTACAAAAATCAAAGGTCTTTTTTTCCTTTTAATACATGAAGAAAAGGTACCCAAAGCTGCTTCTCACTAAGGATGACATGCATTTCAACCCTGCCTATGTAATTAAAATGGATTCTTAACTATGAGAAATAGGCAATGTTACTGCAAGTGCTTCTTCATTTGTCCCACCTCCCTTATTCCTCCTACTGGTAAGTTTCTGTGCCAAGGACAATGGATGGCTGCAATGTCCACATTACCATGAAAAATAAATCCCATTGCCTCAGAAGCTGGATAAGTCTTTCAGCTTCATGAATACCCAATATCAATCAATCTTAAAGAAAAACATATAGAATTCTTTTTATTTGAGTAAAGGCCCTAAGGAGAGGAGAGAATGAAGAGGTGTTATTTAATGGGAATAGAGTTTCAATTTCACCAGATGTAAAGAGTTCTAGAGATGGATGGTGGAGATGGCTGCACAACAATATTAATTAGTATAACTGGCCCTAACCGGTTTGGCTCAGTGGATAGAGTGTTGGCCTATGGATTGAAAAGTCCCGGGTTCGATTCTGGTCGAGGGCACATACCTTGGTTGTGGGCACATCCCCAGTAGGAGGTGTGCAGGAGGCAGCTGAGCAATGTTTCTCTCACATTTATGTTTCTAACTCTCTATCCCTCTCCCTTCCTCTCTGTAAAAAATCAATAAAATAAAATATATTTAAAAATATATTTAAAATTTTTTTTAAAAAGTTAGTATAACTGAACTTAAAATGATTAAGATGATAAATCTCATATTATGTACTAGAGGCCCGATGTGTGAAGATTCATGCAAGAATGGGCCTTCCTTCCCTTGGCTGCTGGCACTGCCTTCTCTCTGGCTGGAGCTTCCTTTCCACCTTCCCACACTGCCCAGAGGCCCTGAGCAGCTGGGGTGGTGCAGAACGCCTGCATCATCGCCATGGCGATGCAAGTGTCCTGCCTCGCCCCTGGCCGCTCAGCACCTGCGTATGCAAATTAACCTGCCATCTTTGTTGGGTTAATTTGCATACTCCTGATTGGCTGGTGGGCATCTCAAAGGTACGGTCAATTTGCATCTTTCTCTTTTGTTAGTGTAGATGTTTATGACAATAAAATTTTGAAAAAAAAATCAGGGGCTGTTTTATCTTATCTCTTGATACAATAATTTGCACTTAATTAGATTCAAAAGAAAGTCCCAAAAGCTTACTTTATTTTACTGTATCTGAAACTATGAAAGATACTGGGAGCATACTGGATATGAACTACAAAAGCAGAAATCTAAAGTTACAAAAAAGGATTATCGTACTTAATGCAGATCATTTATCAATCTGGCGATACCACTCTTTGTCAACTGGTATTTCCTTTGTTTGCATCTGTTTGCTCAAAATGAATACACAACCTTCTGAAACCCCTGTTTAGCCCCCAGAAAAGTAAGGTTTTATATCTACCTCTTAATCTGCATCTTGATTAAACCATTAACTGTTACCTCAGTGCATACAGAAATCAGTTGTGTCTTCTCTACCTCCTTTTCATTCAAAGGTCCCTATTTGAAATTTTAAAAAATTCACCTTTTCAACAAACTCTACTAAGTGAATAATAAAAATCAGAGCCTAGGATTTATAGATTAGTCTTTTTTTCTAAGATTTGCCTTTTTTTATTTGGCTTATAACGTTTTTTATTTTAATTATAGTTGGTATACAATATTATATTAGTTATATTAGTTTCAGGTGTACACATTGTGATTCAACATTTTTATATATCATAATGTGATCGCCCCACTAATTCTAGTAATCATCTGTTATTGTCAATCAATCTTTATGTCAAGTTGTAATAAAATTTGTCAAGACATGGTGACAGCTTTGCATCATCTCTATCCCACTCTCTTATCTTGCCTAAAAATCTCAGGAGTTTCAAGAACTCTGCCAACTCTCCTGCTTAGTATTTATACCCTGTCTGTGCTAATGCCACTGTCCAGCCATGACCCACACAGGGGAACTGCTCACAGCATTTTCACGTTTATCATTTCTCAAGGTTTGTGCTGCAAAGTATTCTTTTACTTGACATTTTGTGAGGGACAGGATTACTTTTTCAATTTAATCAGTTCACCATTTCACAAAGCAAGGCATTTTTTGTTCACTCAAGAGCTTGCTTTTGCATTTACAGGAAACCTGGGGTCCTAAGTTTGATATATCTAAAATCACTTCACAAGATTGTGTGAGCAGAGGCCTATGCCTAGGGTCTTTTAGATTTTTTAAAAAGAAACCTTCTAATAAGTTACTAAATGTTTTGCAACAAGATCCTTAAGACCATATATATGTGAATAATAAGTTTTCTGATACCTCCTGTGCATTTTAACTTAATAAAATTCTGCACATTTACTTTAATTTCCCCATGTTCTAGACTTGGCGATTGGAAGCCACTTTAAAAGACTCTCATAGCCTATGTAGCTCTTCATCTACTAGTATTGTTGGAAAGCAAGTTTACGCTTAGGGAGTTTGTGGTCAGTCTGTACAAAAACATTCATTTGCTGATACTATATTTAACATAGTAGCCTGTACTATGCACATTGTCATAGGTAGTAATAAAATATGGCTCTTACTTCTATTCTACAAATATATGAATAAGAAAGAGGAGAGATACAATGCAGAACTCTGAACACAGATCTTTAGGGGGAAAATACAATTCAAAGAAGTCTGAGAAAATCAAAAGACTTAAATACAAAAGACTTTACATGGTAGAGTCAATGATGACATTCTGTGAGCTACTGACCTGGATTTTCAGCTCTGGTGGCCAATTTCTAGCAGCTCAGTACTAGTCACCTGATGGTACAGTGATTAGGCCCTTGGGAAAGCTGTGCCTTCCACACTGATCCATTTCATGCTTTGTCTATTTCTAGAATCGTGTCTCTTATGATCTTCAATCTTGCCAGCTTTCATTTGAATCTCCAGCTTGTAGTCAGATGACGAGTCCAGCCCTGGCCTGTGGGGCTCAGTTGGTTGGGTGTTGTCCTGTGCACCCACCAAAAGGTTGCTGGTTTGATTCCTGATCAGGGCACATGCCCAAGTTGTGGACTGTATCCCCTGTAGGGGATGTGCAGGAGGCAATCAATCGATGTTTCCCTCACATAGATATTTTTCTCTCTCCCTCTCCCATCCTCTCTCTCTAAAAATCAATTTTAAAAATACTTTTAAAAACTGACAAGCCCAGTACACAGATGATATATTTTCATAGTTCTAAGGTGCTATATAGGCCATTTATGTCAAGACTCTCTAGTTTGTGTTCTGATCTAACTGTGGGTAAGCCTCAAAATTATTTTAAGATATTCTGAACATTATATTATTTCTAAACTCCCAAAAGAAGTATGAAAAAATTTAGTAGACAGACCTATTAAACCAAATTTGTTTCAGTTTAATTTAGTGCCACCCATTCACTCAGGTTAGGTAAAGATGGAATGGTGACACAAGCATGTTTCCTTGAGATTTATCATAGCAATGTCCCTTTATTACCTCCCATTTAAAAACATATCTTGACTATTCCATAGGCATGCTATGGATTTAACTGCACTGCCAGGAAAAATATGATTTTCAGGAAGCTATTGAAAGTAATATATTTCATGACTTTTAAATTTTCCAAGTATGACCTTTTCCTTCTTTTCTTCTAGGTTGTAAAAATGATGATTATTGTTGTGGTGACATTTGCCATCTGCTGGCTGCCCTATCATATTTACTTCATCCTCACTGCAATCTATCTAGAACTAAATCGGTGGAAATACATCCAGCAGGTCTACCTGGCGAGCTTTTGGCTGGCCATGAGCTCGACCATGTACAATCCCATCATCTACTGCTGTCTGAATAAAAGGTAAAAACAAAATGGCCCAATGCCAGTTTCTTGTCCCTCCTGGCATCACTGGAAGCATATAATGTTGTTCCAACTTCTTGGTGTGAATTTAAAATGGAAAAATTCACTGAGAGGAGCACAGAGCTGGATATTTTTCTAGACTCTCCCCTATTACATAAAATACCTCACCCTCAAAACAATGCTCTCAGAGAATCTAACCGGACAGTTTTTATAGGGGCCAAATCCTCCCTCCAAGACTTTCATAGTTGTATATGCCAAGGAAAAAGGGATGCACTCATGATGAAGAGGGGGAGCTGAAGATGTGCTCAGGTCCTCAAAGAAATGAAGATACTTCATAGGCCTGCACAGATGATGGCATATGTGAGTGTACTCTACTAAAAGGCGTGTTTTGTAAATAAACTTGTAAATGGAAGATGTTGCTGTGAGTGTGATAGAGGCAACAATACAGACAAGGGGAATTCCAATCTACCTTCCTGCATAAGGAGCTCAGTGAATAAGAGAGGGTGCACCATGGGAATGGGTTGTGAAGAAGTTGAGGTGGTCAGGGAAAAGCTATTTTTAAAGTGAAGTTAAAAAAAAAGAAGGAATATTTACAGTTAAATTTAAGGCTAGAAAAAAAAGTAAAATGTGGTTTCCAGGTAAAAATCACCTAAGTTGTAAGGTCAGCACATGGATGAGTGGGGTTAATTTCATAGGACCGATAATTTCCTTAATAAATCAATGCGTTTTGAGCTACTTTGAGCACAAGGAGAAACGGAACTTCATCTAAGTAATTTAGATGAGCTAAATTCTGAGCTCTCTTTCCAACTGGGCCTCCACCACACTGTGCCTTAAGTTTGTTAACTACTTAATTCTTACTCTTTTTTTACTCATTGCATAAGCCACATATCAATTCAAGCCACCCTACAAGCAGTACATCTTTTTTTGATAAACTTCATTTAATAGTTTACAAAGCCGAGGATTTTACACTTTCACATGTGGTTAGATAAAAACCATCATGATTAGGGGGCATTTGAGATCTTGCTCCCTGGTACATGTTGTCAGTTTGGCTCAAATAAACTCTTCTAAAAATAAAAATAAAAAAACACCCATCAAGTTTAGCAATTAATTCTAACACTAAATAAGACTTTAATTTATAAATGTGTAATTATAACTGAAAAAAGCTGTTTCCAAATATGTCATATTTAAGTGCCTTAAGTGGCAAGACTAATTCAATTGCACTTACGGAAATGTATACAATTATTGAAGAAATGTACACTGTTTCTTTGTTATATTGATTACCTGTCCTTTTACTCTTTGATGACTTGCTTCTCCTTGACGGTATATTAAGATTCAAAGCAAACAAGAAGAACTTAAAAGACTAGTACCAATGCTGTGGCCTAAATTCTAAGAGTGTGACTAGAAAATCAGATTAAAACACTGAGTTGGCTAAATGCCTTACCGAGGGCTTTCTGTGGCAGTGAAAGAAATTTCCTCTTGAAAACATGACTCTTTCTCCCTGTGGCCCACTTCTCAGGTTTCGAGCTGGCTTCAAGAGAGCCTTTCGCTGGTGTCCTTTCATCGAAGTGTCCAGCTATGATGAGCTGGAGCTCAAGGCCACCAGGTTCCACCCCACCAGGCAAAGCAGCCTGTACACGGTGACGAGGATGGAGTCGGTGACAGTGGTGTTTGACCCCAGCGACTCTGTCAACGCCAAATCCAGCCAGAAGAAGAGAGCGACACCAAGAGACCCAAGCTCCAATAGCTGCTCCCGCAGGAATTCCAAGTCCGCCTCCACCACCTCCAGTTTCATAAGCTCACCCTATACCTCCGTGGACGAGTGTCCCTAAATCCATTCCCTGAGGTGAAAGGGTGAGGCCACCATGGTGGCAGCCTAGGCCCCTTTCTCCTCACCATGTATTAGTCCTGTCCTGCCTACTCTCCTGAAAGAGAAGGGCAATTTTTAGGCAGAGATGCTTCAGTAGGGAAAGGTAGCATATAAATATCACAAAGACATTACTAGGATATTTGCCTCCCTCAAAAAGAAAACAGGCTTTAAATTCATCCTTTGAAAATTCTAAATTATTATATGTAACAAACTGAAAAATACTTGTAAAGTTCTTTGTTTTCCATTTAAAACTTATACATTAGTGAAACTAAAGTGACATATGATTTTTCCAAAAGATTAAAGAAGCTTTCAAATGCAATGTTGTGAGTGAATACAATCAAAATCTATATAAAATAAAACAACTTCATCTATAGCTATAACAGAAAAAATGTTAAATGACTAATTTTTCCACTAGAATAATAGAAAAATAACCTCAAAGAGTAGAAATTGATGAGCATTTTTTTCTCAAGAGAACACATTTTATAGAATGATTTAAAAATTTTAATTTAAAAATTTAAGATTTAAAAATTATCTCCTTGAAATGTAACTGAAAAGGAAATCTAGTCAAATCACTAAGGAGCTACATGTCATTCTCTTTATTTTTTTCTGAGAAAGTTGTTTCAAAAGAAAAATAATAATCATTTACTCCTTGACCATTACATATTTTAAAGTGCCAAACTAAGAAGAGTCAAAATTGAACCTTAAAACGACAAAGCAAATTCCTATGATACTCTTTATTTTATTTTTCATAAATACTTAAGATGAAAATTTTATTTAACATATTGGGGTGACATTGGTTAATAAAATTATATAGGTTTCAGGTGTCCAGTTCTATAATACATCATCTGTATATTGTATTGTGTTTACCACCCCAAGTCAAGTCTTCTTCCATCACCATTTATTCGCCTCTTTACCCTCTTGTACCTCCCACCCCCACTTTCCCTCAGCAATCACCATATTGTTGTCTCTGTCCATGTGTAGATTATAAAACACTAAACATGCCTTCTAATGAAGAAGGGAAGAATCTCATTTATCTTTGAAACTGCCTACCAATTTTTAGGCAAGAATTAAAAATACTAATTCATAGTTATGATGGCAGACAGGAGCATCTATCTACTCCAAAGGAAAGTGTGTTTCTCATCCATAACCCAAGGAAAAAGTTTAAGGTGAACATCAACTTTATAAATTGTACAGACCTTTACCTCTCCTCTCTTCTCATTGAAGAAAAGAGTGAGGGCTGTAGGAAAATATCATAATATATGCTTAAAGGCAAACCCTTAAGAAATATACAAATATACATACCAGTAAATCAAGCAAGATGTAGAAAGGTGAATCATCTATTACAATAGAAAGCCAGACAATAGTTTGGATGCATATGAACTAATACCCAGCAAACAAATAAAATACACACCTTCCCACAGAGAGAGCTTTCCTTATGTTTGCTTAGATATTTCAGAAATACCCTTTCCCCCGAAAGAAATGAGCTAATGGTCCTAAAGAAGCATCTATCCTATATAATAAAGAGCTAATATGCAAATGGTTGTCACGCCCTCACACCCTCGGGCCAGGGCTGGGGGACCTGAGGCCTCCCCCCCCGCCTAGCAGGGTTTGACCAGGGACCTAAGGCCATGCACCCCCTGGCACCAGGGCCAGGGGATCTGAGGCTGAACCCCCTGCCCAGCAGCACTTGACAGGGGACCTGAGGCTGTGCCACCCCCCCTCCACGAGGCTTGACGGGGGTGGGGCCGACCGGGTCTGGGTCTCGCGTGATTTCAAGGCACATGTGGGTGGATGGGGACTTGACTCTTGGGTCCCGTGGTGTGCCCCAGACTCTGACAGGAGAGAGATTTTCATATACATTTTAGTAATTTTCTTTCATCTCTGACACTTCTATTATAGAGAAAGGGCAAATAGTAATATTAAAATATTTCCTCTAATTAACTGTCTTTTAATGTGCATGAATTTCATGCACCAGACCACTAGTTTTACTATAAGAAAAATACACTGACACATTTCTGAGAGCCATAACAAAATAAGATACACCATTAAGTGTGAAATTTATCTTCCGGACATCAGTGCTTATAAATCATCTTTCCTTGAATTAGAGATCTTCTCAATCCTGCTCAAGAAAGCAGAAACCTTCTAAGAACTTGAAAATAATCATTTGTATTTTTGAAGCTATCCAGCTAAAATAATTACCTGTAACACTTTACAGAATTGTTATGCCTTCATCAATATAGAACCCACTATTTGCTTGTTGAAGAACAAGATTAAAGCAATTATTCAAGAGCAAATCGTGGTCTTTTGCTGCCAAGACATTACATTTTCCAATCATCCTCTTTATTTTGGACCCCAAACTAGAAATATCTAATTGTTATAATGTGTTAAAAGTCTAAACAACCCTACTACATGTGTTTAAGCTGAATTTCTTCTGATTACACCAATAAGCAGACACACATACATACACACACACTTGAGTGTGCAGACACATACATTTTAATGTATGTAACAAATTCAAAGAACTAAATTATAAATTGAATGCTGAAATAGTCAATGATTATTAGAGTTGCCACAATACTCAGTAAACTGAAGTTTGCATGCTTTAGATAAGCAAATGTATTACTATTTAGCATCTAATTGTTGAATGTAATGCTTTTAAATGTTCACTTCAAAAAAATGTAAATGTTTATGCTTATCATACAATGTGAAAGTGTCAAGAAAAAAGCCTAATATTTTAAAGTACACATTATCCTCTCAAATTTGTGAATGATTATGGGACTAGTGTTAATGAATCCTCTCTGATACATGGGGCCATATTCAACTATAGAATGCAAATGTAAAGTGTGGCCCTCAGAGTCAATGTGGTCAGTCACCAGCAAAATACATTTGAAAAACGACCTTCACACATGCTAGCGAAATTCAGTATAATTTGTTAAGACATCTAAGGAAAAATTTGCTCCAGTCATCCATATTGTTTGTTTTCTTTTCTTTCTTTCTTTTTTAGTAGATTTGTTGTTTTCTTTACCAAGTATCACCCTTCTAGAATGACAGAAATACCTAGGGTCCAGACAGTATCTTTTTAAATATATTTTAGAAAAAGACTGACATCATTCACTCACTACTTGTGACTCTTAAACCAAGACTTATAAAATAATTTTTTAAGTTCAAAATTTGAAAAATAATAACAATAAAATAAGTGAATACAATACAAAACAGGTGAGATTTTATCCACTGAGAATTATAGAATAATACACATGGAAATCAGCTTCAGTAGGTGTCACTTTAAATAAGGCTATGCCAATGTTTTCATGTTTGTCAGGGTTTGGAAAAATTTGCATCCAAAATTCACCCTACCGTCTGATATTAATGTTCACTGTGAATCTTTTTTATTATTTATAGGCAAAGACTGGCTAGAAATACTAGGCAGATAGTTACAATGTTCTAAGATATTTTTGGATTTAGATCAGCTGAAGAAAAATGCACACTATTTTGAAAGAAATCTGAAAGAATAAAAAAAGCTTTGCATTGCTTTAGATATTCTCTTTTTGGAAGATAAAAATTAATAAATAGTAAACATTGTATTTTCAGTATTTTGCCCTGGACAAAGTGTTTTTGAAATTACCTGCATGGGGAAAAATTAAAGTAAACATAAGTATTATAGAATCCAAACTAACATCACCTGGCTTTTAGCTAGCATTATTCATTCCTCTCCCAACTTTATGCTGGTGACATTTCTGACCCAGCAGCCAAATTCATATTCTTTTCCAGATCATTTCAATCTCTTCTAAACAGAGATCCTCCCAAGTTTACAGTGAACTTCACCCTTACAAAGCACACAGAAAAATGCAAAGAAACTTGGTATCATAACTCAGAAGCACAAAATGAATGTGAAAAGCAATGGTGGCAAGCTCATAATTTGATTTTTGTTAATTCAGGATTTTATCAGAAAACTTCTGATTAGTGTCTGATAAGCTATGTTACCAACTACAAAGGTGGGAGAGTTACAACTGCTCACCCTTTTCACAGTAACAATTTGAGTTCCCACTTGTTGTTGATAGTGTGCCAAAAATAGAATAATAATGTAATAATTTCCCCCAGGGCCAAGCAGAGATGGAGAATAATGTCCAGTAGTTCTGTACAAGGTCACTAATTACATGTTGTAAAATAGCTTGGCAAAAATTCATCGAATATAAGAAATAAATGTACATAAAGTTTGTAGCTAGTGAATAAAGTATCTTTGAGTTGTGGTAATTCTACTGAAACGGTTTAATACATTCATACCCTTTGTATATGTGGTATATGTGACAGATACTATTTTTTTTCTCTTTAAAAACATTAAAAAGGATATTAAAAGTGAAAGCATCCCTAATATTTTCTTACTGGCTAGCAAAACATGCTATGGAGGGTGCTATCTTGTCTAAACACAATCACTCAACCATCCCTCAAGACTATTGTGCTTTCATCCTTATTTTTTCTCACAAAAATGTCTAATTTTCCTAAGTTACCCTTATTTGAAAAAAATTATGCAGAGTAAAGGCATCAAAATGTAGAGACACATTTTGTTCAGGGAGCAGGAGCAGGTGAATTGGCATGCAGAGTTGAAAGTGCATATAGTTGAACACAGAGCATAGCATTTTAGAGCTATGGCATCAGGGCTATATCCACCCACAGACTTGAGTTACCATCTGAGTCCCACCGCCTGCCAGCTGAGAGACCTGGGCCAAGTGATTCTCTGCTCCGAGCCTCTTTTAACTCATCAAAGAAAGAAAGAAAATATTAATTTCTTTAAGTGCTGGTGTGAGAATTGAATACTGTAATACATAAATGGGTCAGAGACAAACAGTAAGTAAATGCCCTAAAACAACATTAGTATCATTGTGTGCATGGGGAGAACATTAGAGAAACCTTTATCATCATCCCCATCCAAAGCTCTGTGAGGGGCATATGTAGCAGTGTAGCATCCTATCACTTAGGCTTGGGCTGCTTTCAGAACCCAAACAAGAGCTCATGGATTCTGTGTGATTGGTCTGGGAATTTGCTACCTGGCCCTGGGCCCTGGGCCCTGAGTAAGAAAAGCTGTGTAGGTGAAAAGTTAAAAATGGCCAATTCAGCCCTAACCGGTTTGGCTCTGGATAGAGTGTTGGCCTGCACACTGAAGGGTTCTGGGTTTGATT